AGAAAAATGATGATATACAGGAGCGGAACCAGAAAATTTTTATGAGGGGCCAAAACCTAAATGGATTGGGGGAACCATTGGGGTGGGGAGTGGGGAAATATACATGAAGCGTGGGGATTTATTGGGCCATAGGGGGGCATGGCTCCTTGGGGTTCCTCTGTCTCCGCCTGGGGTTGGGATTAAACCAATTAATAGGCCACGCTAGGCTTTGCCTTTATATCAATATAACATATTCATGCCCAAACCTGAGCATGACCAGACCATTGGGCCTAAATTTTGAGCCCAATCTCGGCCCCCTATATAAAGCCCAAAGCCCAGCCAAGAAATTGAGAAAAAAAAAGATTTGTATTCTTTATTTAACAACAAAATTGATTTATTTATATTAAATTGACTTCAAAATTGAAAATTTTATTTATTTATTTATTTAATTTTATTAAATTAAAATATATTATTATTCATAAATTTCTATTTATTTTAAATAAATCATTTTTTCTACGAACTATTAACTAAAAAATTTACCTTTTGTAAATTCATTTTTTTTCTATATTATTCAAGTCTCCACTAGTAATTTAATAAAGACTAATAATAAAATCGGTGATGTGATATCAACACGTTGTCTATGAAGCGGAAAAAAAAGATATCAACAAGTTGTCTTACCTTTATACAATAGAACCCTCAATTGGAGCCATTAGATGTTGGAACAATGATGTCATACACTCCCTTTATGACATAATTATTCTCATTTTCTTTCTTAAAACCTAATTCAATGTCAAGTACAGCGGTTATTCATACTCTCCAGGGAGCAGCGGCTTTTTTGTGTTTTTTCAGGAATGCGTAGGTTAGCGCAAGTACACCCTCCAAGCGAAGTTTAGTGTGCGCCTCTCATGGAAGAATCTCGGCAGCCAGCATGGCATATCCTCGATAGGAGACAGACGACTCGCGTGTTGAACTTTTACCGGAATCTGACACACGAGCTTACGTGTAAAACCGAAACGATAGAACAAATGCCATAAAGATAATCTTTTCTATTAACCATCAACATAAAAATAAAGCAATCACGCTCCACTCCCAGCCAAAGTTTCAAATAACAACGTCAACTAGAAAACAGAAACATCTCCGGCGTATATACCGGTGCCGGCGGGAAGTGACGTCAGAGGAAGAGGGCGGGTAGTGAGTAATGACTGGTGTAAAGATTCAGGGGAGAGAGTGACCTGGTGCGCATTTTCAAAGTTGCGTTGTAGTGGAAATATGACGACGTTAAAGGTTGACTGTAGCAGACGAGAAAAGGGTAATTATAAGGGAATTTCTTTTTCTTCTTTTTTTAAGATGTTGATTTGATTTCGATTCCTTGCGCCCGAGGAATGGATGGTACGGTTTCGCAAATACTAGGGTTTCCAGATGAGCTAAGTGTTGGATTGGGGTATATCGGAATCGAGAATTATGGAATGTTTCAGGAATTTGATGCAGTCTTTGAAGAGTTGAGGTTTGAGCGGAATTCTTCCGGTGATATAAGAATTCAATTTTTGTTTTTTCTTTAAAGGTTTGGCAATTGAATTCCTCTTTCCATGCTGGATTACTACTGTTATGCTTTCTGGTTGAAGTGATCTCTATTTTATATTTTCTTGTTTGAGAAAAAGAACCTTTGCGATTTAATCACTCACTAAGAGTTCCTTTTGGCTTACTTATAAGTTGTTTTCTCTGAATTTCTGTTTTTTAATGCCTTCTTGCTATGAACTTGGTTAATTGGTTAGAGTTGTGTGGTCTAATTGAAAGAAGAAAACGGGATTTTTTATTATCTATTTATTTCTTCTTCTTTTTCTTTGAGTGCTGTTTTAACAACATATTCCAGTTCGTTTCAGTAATTCCCTTGCTCTGTATTTGGGTGAAAATAAAAAGGCTAGTTGGTGCTTCTGAATTGGCTGAATGAAGTTGAGTACTCCTAGAATTGCACGGTTCCTACAAGCTTGGATTCTATTGGTAGCTTAACTTTGATGGCATCAGAATTAAGTCTTCTTATAGTAGGTTGTCTTCATGATATATACAGCAAAATATGTTTTAAACACTTGCTGAACTTTATTGGATGTGAGCTGGAGAAATTAGAGGGCCTTGGAGACATTGATAAGGATTTGAGAATGTGATTGTGTTTAGTGAGTATTCTGTTCCACCTGAACGTCTGTACTTTCTTTTCTACAATATCTCTTAACCTAGTGAGGTGGATCAGGTTCCCTTTGGTTGTCCAGGAGCAACTTTGAAGCTTCAAACCTTGTGATTTATAGAACACAAAGGATGTAGTTATATTTTGGACTTTCATTATTTGATGTCCATATATTAGCTATTGAAAACTATCCTCTTCTCATCTGTCTTTGACATAACCATAATCATCTACCTCCCTGGCATATCTTACCATAAAGTTGTTGCCTTTAGGATTATGCCCTATGTTGGCTATTAAGATATTGAGATTTATTGCTTGGAACCTGATCTGGAAGTTTTTTCTAGGAAGAATAATAAGACCTGGAAGCAATTAAAGTCCAAACCATGGTATATCAAGTTTGCTCAGATCAATGGTAATTCTGTCCAACAACTCAAGTGAAGCAATACTTTTCAGAGTTTTGAAATCCCTTAAAATCCTTCTCAGACCCAGATCCCATCTACACTAATTATCCAAATTTCCAATTAAACGCAAAGTAGAGAAGGATGCCTGTAATGGTAAGGCTTGGTAGTACAGGTTTTAAGTTCCAAGGGGAGAATCTGTTCACTTGGTTTCATTTGTATGGAATATATCATATACAGGCAAAGCCTAGATAATAGAGATTTGTGTCAGGTTTAGCAGAAAACATAAGTACCAACCTTCACTCTTTAGCCAATCCAATATGAGTACCAATCCTCAGTCTTTTGTGCAATTCTAGGGACATGCTGCAAGTTGAAATTGAGGCTGAGTTCAGGTATTATGTACAAGCAAAGGGAGCTCCAATTGCAGAATTCTGTGGTTCTCTTAGGGCATTTTTGTTTTTTATGATGTAGCAGATGTTTTTGTTTTGAAAAGAAAAACCACTCATATTGGTGAAAACCTGCCTTAATTTCTCTGCTTTTCACTTTAAGCAAGTGATGTAGGACAGGTTAGGGGTCCTACAAATGTCAAATCTGGTGATGGGCTTTGTGAGGTGAAAGAGGGAGTTTAGGTGATTAATGAAGAAGAAGATGGATGGAAAAGCAAGTAGACAACTTGCTGTCCACCAAAAATAGCAAGAAATTACAAAGAGAGAGAAGAATTACTTCTAAGTAAACAGCAAAGAGATAGATCACTTTGAAGAGAGAGAAAGTAGACTTAGATGATCTGGTCACATGCATAGAAGACCACCCACAACACAAGTAAGAAAAAAAGGTCAGTTAAAGTTGAAGGGACTACAAGGGCTAGGGGCAGACCAAAAAAACATGGGTCGAAGTAGTAAGGAATGAGTTAAGTGCTCATAACAACGGATATGGTATTAAACAGAATGGAACGGTGAAACAGGATTCATGTAGCCAACCCATATTAGTTGGGATAAGGCTTAGATAATGATAGCAGTGATGATTCATCAAATAAACTCTTCTAAAATTGCAATTACAGTGACTCTGTTTGTAGGCTTAACTTATTAACTCGGATGTCCTGTTACAGACTCCAATTTGGACTTGGAAATTGGCCAAAATCAAATATTAATTGCTTTATAACTAAGACAAATCCACAAGTAACCTATAATGACACTTAAATAAGGACTCTAACTCTAATAACACTATTGTAATTCTACTAAAACTAATTTAATGTAACAACACCAGAAATTATAAAAAATAGTAAGTGTCTTTACTAAAAATAGTAATTATGGGAATTACTATAAACAGTAAGTTCGAATGTTACCATAAATAGTAAGTTTGAAATAACAATAAATTTATGGAAAAATTAAAATCCTATTCTTGATACACCTATAAGTAGAAAATAAAGAAACTCAAGCAATACCGATATCCTATCACAAAAAAAAAATCTAAAATGGGTGTAGGATTGGAAAATTGACTTATCTCCCAATGGTTTCTTTGCTTGCTTCCATATCTGCATCAGAAAGTTTCCTCTTATCAAAATGAGTCTAAATTTTCTTCCTGGTCATGGCAACAAATCTCAAGCTCAGCTGGAGTTGTTGCATGCTTGGAGCTACATGCAAGTAGAGACCCACAGATGTGGTATCAACGTATTGAAGGGATTTATTGCAACCAGAGGTTTGGTTTTCAATGCCTTGCAACCAAAAGTATTAAATTTATACCCCACCTAAATTCTATCCAAAGATATCAAAGTTTTAACCCAGCTAAACTCTATTAGAAAATGTCATTGGATGTTTCTCTACTTAATCATGGCTGATGGTTTGGTCAGCAGATTGTAGCCTTTAAAAATTAGTTAGGATTGTTGTTTACACGGGCAGATTTGTCACACCCAATTTCTTAGTTTTTAGATTGACTCCTTTTTCATATTTTTTTTTCTATATTATTCCTTCAGGTTATCTCTCAATGCATCCACAAAAAAAGATATGGCCTTAGGGTGGAAGAGTCGGAAGGAAGTACAGGATTTTTGTTCTGCTAACTTCACCACCTTTGGAATTTCTTCTATATTTAGAACATTAATTGTTCAGCACCCTTCCTGAATTTTTCATCGTTGCATATTGAAATACTGGGGATCAATAATTTCTTTGCAAAATTTTCTTTCTACAGTCCAAAGAATATGAGCTCTCCATCAACTCAGTTTGCCACCTCAAGAAGGATGGGTATCTATGAGCCAGTCCACCAAATTAGTATGTGGGCAGAACCATTTAGAGGTAATAGCAGTCCAAACACAGCTGTGTCCACAATACAGGGGGATGCAAAGCTGGACAAGGTACAAACTACCGAAACTTACACTTATCTTGGTACTGTTGGGGCTATATTATTTTGATTACCTATCTGTATCTTATGTATCTAATTTAATGTCTGTAGTCTGAAGATACTTCCCAAGGAACAATAGGACCTTTAGAAAATCATGATCAAGAAGCAAATAAACCTTCAGACAAGGTAAAGAGACTGTGTTACAGTCTAGGTCTCACTTTGTCCAATACTTCATTTGATTGTTTATTCTTATTCAACTTTTAATTTCCTAATTGTTTTTGTGGATCCATCATATCATGTCATATGTGCTTGCTTATTATTCTCACGAGAAACTTTTAATCCATCCACTTGTTTGGTTGTCTTTTGGTCCTGAACTGTGGTTTTCATATTTTGTTCAAGACTATTTTCCTGCAGATATAATATTACAGAATTCTCATCTGTTTTTCTAGTCATGTTCAATATTGTTAGCTCATCAAAAAAATATTGACAGGGATCTTTTTGGCTGTTTCTATTGTAAGCATGGATCCTTCTCAACATTTGACTATTCTGGTTACAAACTTAAGCTGTGGAGTATTATTTGATACAAAATTTTCCTTTTCTGTCTACTGGAACTGACTTTTATTAATTTCACAAGTATCGTTTCTTATTCTCTTAGACTCCTTGGATTGTTGGGAAAATATATTTAACTAATCTAATTTAAAGAGAGTAGAAGTTTCTTTAGCAGTTGTGAATTTGTGACAAGGCATTTTAAATGAATTGTTTAATGTGGACAAATTTGTATTTGTATACATACAAGAAGTGTTTGCATTAAAGAAATGGGTTTCCATGGTAAGTTCTGTTTGATGGAACTAGACAACCCACAAATATTACATGTAGAAGCTTTAGATGGCACCACAAAATGGCTCAAGGTTCTCACTACTAAGGAAGAGTTCATAATGGAACAGGCAAATTTGTTTATTTAGACATCAACTTGACTCAAAATTGGAGATGGTTTCAAGCTCATCGTTTCAATTGTGGCATCAGAAATCTAGTCTAGCTCAATTGAGACTCATTTACTTATCCTTCTTAACTACTACATGATTTTTCTTAAGGTTGTGTTTGGTTGTAGTGCAAATTTATTTGCACTTGTACAAATGCATGGGAGTGCAAATGTAAAAAATGCAAATTCTTGTTTAATTTTGTCTTGGATTTTACTTTATTCTGCTTAATGTCTTAATTTACTTCATTTGTACTGCAATCAAACAAAATAAGCTAAAAATTGAAACAAAAATAGGCCAGAATTTACACTCAAATCATTTGCACTGCCATGATTTTGCATTGGTGCAAATTTATTTGCATTGCAACCAAACACAACCTAATGTTCAAACATTTGAGTTCTGATCTTCTCCCAGCTATTAACCTAAGAAGCTAAGTTATTTTTCTTCTAGTTATGTTTTGCATTTTGAGAACCCTTTCCTTTAAGCTTAGCCAATTTGATCAGCCTTTTAACCCTACTCATTTTCTCTCAAAAATACTCATAGGTTATCTTATATCAAGTTTCATTGTTAATTGGTGATTTATACACTAAATGCCCAATCATGGTCGTTTTGGTTTGTAGAATTCCTACATGACCCAAGCATATCCTACATCAGTCTAGTACAAGTGGTTTATTGATGTTTTTATGGAAAATAAAAGATGAATTTCATTAAAATATGTTAGTGGAATTTGTTTAGTATAATTTCTCACATAACATAATTCACCCAATTAGACTAATAACTGGTTTTTTTTTTTTGTTATTTGGGTAATCCCATTCAGGAAATCACGTAGGTGTTTCCTTAGTTACATCTCTGCTAGGGGTAGAGAAAACCTTTTGATTCTAATTCAGAAGTACAAATGAATATACTAAACTTTGAAAATTCTGGTATATATTCCCTTTTTGTTTGAGAGAAAACCAATATATAAATAAGCAAACTTTTTATACATAACAAGTAAATAGGTATCATGAATAGTCATATTTCATCAATAAGGCTACAAATGGCCTTTAAATTTTGGTTATGTGCATTATTATGGTGTGAGGAACCATAATCAACCAAGTTTCATGACAAGGTTGTAGATGTTTTTCCCCCTCACACATAGGTTAATATGTTGTAAAGAACCATAATCATCCAAGTTTCATGAACAAGCTGTAGATGGTTGTAGGAGTATAAGGAAAGACAAAGGTCTAATGGTGGAAGTTGTAGGAGCACGTAATGAAGAGGTGGAGAAGGAATACTGTAATCCCTACCTTCTTCTTTCTCATCTTCTTCCTTTCCTTTACATCACAATCTTCTTTTCTTTCTCCTTTTGCTTGCCTCTTGTTGCTTTAAATTCTATCAACTGAATAGCTTTAGCCAACAAAATGGCATTAGCCCCTTCTCCTTGTTGGAGAGGAGTTTATATAGAGGAGGGAGGTGGTAAGTAACTCCTCACTCCTTTTTTCTTAGGGTGCCAAGTGTCACCGCACTTAAAATGAGTTAAGGAGGAAAAAGAAAATTCTTCCTAAGGTGACAAGTGTGCCCTCACTTAAAGTGGTTAGAGGAGGGAAAATAATTCTCTCCTCTAGGGTGTGACATGTGTCCCTCCACTTAAAGTGGTTAGAGGAGGGAAAATAACTTTCTCTCTTAGGGTGACATGTGTCCTCCCACTTAAAGTGGTTAGAGGAGGGAAAATAACTATCTTGTTAGAATAGGACAAGTGGCATCTCCTTATAAATGAATGGGACACCTCACAAGAAAATTAATTAATATAGATTTAGTTCTTTTAGGGCTTGTTGTCCCATTAAATGGGCTCTATTGTAGGCCCATTAAATGCTTATTGCATTACAAACAAGCCCAATTAATTTGGGGCCTATTGTTTACTAAATTAGACTACAAGCCCCTTTCTTTACTAAAAAGCTTTAGCCCGCCAATAGGATTGACTGGGCTAAAAAGAAAGCCCTTTTTCTCCTTTTTTTTTTTTTAAAAGCTATGACTAGGAGTACCTTAATAACCTCTCCCAGTCCAGCAAACTTAAGGACTTAACAAAATAAAATAAAGAAGATTACAATAAAAAGTGGGTTCATCCACAAAAACCAACAAGAACAAACTACAAAAGGGGTATTAACAAGTAAATCAAATCCACCCCCAAAGTTGAGCTCAAGAGTCTTCCAAAATTAATAGTACTTGATCTAGCTTGAAGAGTGGCTCTGGAACTTATAGTCAATAGATGATGTAGGACCAATAGCTTTAATACCAAACTGATGGTAGGATGTGCAGTGGAGTTTTAAAAAAAAGTGCTCTATTATCAATTTATTGTGGGGTTAATGGAAAATGGGCTAAGTATGGCTATATTGAAGTCAAAAGTGAAATGTAGGGATTTAAAAAACTAATGTTTAAACAAAGGTATGGATTTAGGATGAACTAATCTAGTAAGAAGGTTAATGAATGGAGTTTAGGAATAAAAGTTCCCGGGATGAAGTATAGAGAAAGAAATGGACCAATTCAGAGGTTTTCTAGAGAGAGACATTAAGAGCTATAAAATAAAAATCTTGAAAATTTACTGGCTTGTGAATGAATTTCCGGTCTATGGTGCAGATTAATCCACTTCTTCAAGTCTTAAACTATTATCATTGAGCTGTATAGCTGCAAGAATAAGGAAATTGGAAATAGAAGAGAAGAGAAGAAATCCCAAAGTCACTCAACAGAGGCCTAGAATCACTTTAGGATTTGGGAATTACTCAATAAATTCATAATTCAAGAAATATCTTCATAATCAAGTAACATTGTTGGCTGCTTGCAACCCATTTGTTAGCTCCACTTTGTCAGCTTCTTGTTGCTTTCTCCGCTGTAGAGAAGATGGGTCGAGTGGCCCATAGGTTGCTTATTCTTTCTTGTTATTTATGTTTCTTTTCTGTAATGGGCCTTATTCTGGGTCCATCCTATCAATATTAAGTTCTGTGTAAATTCTTGCCCAACTAAGGGCCTCCTTGTAATTATTCAAATATTTCTAATAAAACAGTGTTAGGGGGCTGAGAGAGGGAGAGTTCGAAATCCTCTTCTCAGACCCTCATTGCCTAACCCTCAACTCTCTTCTCTTCAGTTTTCTTCATCCGCTTTGGTCAGCTGGTTGTTGGCTACTTGTTGCCTTTTCCACTCTTGTCAGTTTCTTGTCAACTACAAAGGGTTTAAGGTTTACAGTTATAGGGTTTTGGGTTTGGGGTTTGATTTAGGGTTTTAGGGATTGGGGTTAGTGTTTATGATTTAGGTTTTATGGTTAGGGTTTAGGGTTTATGTATTTCCTTTTGAGTTAATATTTCCTTACAATCAAAGAGTTGATGTTTACAGATGCAGAAAATAATCTAAAAAAAATTAAAATAATAGTGCAGAAAGTGAGATGAGAAGAGAGATAAGGAAGAAAAGCACTCCTAATCATGGGACTCAATGTGAGATCCCATTACTTTTTGTATTAACTTCTCATAAGTAAAAACATAATTATAGAATTACCTTAAGTGGTTGGCTGTACAAAGAAATAAAATAAGAGATTAAACTAGTCCCCAGGCTAACAGTGCCAACAACTGTCCTAACTAATAAATGAGACAGCAATAACGGTCCCATAAAAGATAACAAAAAAAAAGATATGATAGTTTGATCTATCAACACAAACAAATCAAATATAGAAATGAATTCACATAAGCATTACTAGGATCATCCAATCCTCATATCTGAACAACTCTGGAGAAAAAAACCAAAGTACCGAATATATTGTTCTAATACGACAGATGTAAAATTGTCCTTCAAATCTGATAATTAAACGTGATCACAGCAATAAAAAGAAAAAGAAAAAGAGGTGATTACAGCAGAAGGAAGAAGAAGATGGAGAAGAAGAAGAGAAAGGAGAAGACAGTTCGATGGTTTCCTTCTCTCTCTCTTAATCTTTTATTAAACTCACTTAACTATGATTAATTACATCTCTGCCCTTAAGTGGGCGGCCAGCACTTAAATAACTTAAAAGAAACACAAAAAAAATTAACAGGCCTCAGGCCCATAATGAAAAAGGCCATTAACACAAAATGTAAACATGATGCTACTTAAAACATAAAAAAGTACTAGGGCCAATTCAGCCCAGTCTCTCTACAATGGCTCTATCACTCTATTAGGTGAACCTTAAGGCTCAAACCCACTTACAATATTCAAAATTACCAAACCAAAAAAGTATAAAATACATAAAACAATCAGAAATCCCCATAATTGACTATTTGGCTTCTCTGTCATAGGATAAACTTTCTATTGATGTTCTGGTTTTTTTCCCTTTTTTTTTGTGTGTGTGTGTGGTGGTGGTGGTGGGGGGGGGTTGGGGTTGGAGGGGTTCTCTTGTATGATACCATTATCAGTTTATTTTGCCAAACTTTATGAGGTTGTGAGACATCATCATAGTCTAAGTATTTCTTCTTCATTACAAAAGAAATAAATGAGAAAAAGAACCATGGTGAATGATGGAAAAAACCCGCATGAAGAGGATTTACAATCCATCCTGTCTTGGTTGCTTAGTTAGCAAAGATGAGCAACCTTAGTCTCAGATCAGGCCCATTATTTATGCAATCTTGTTTTGAGCATCAGGAATCCAGATCAGCTCATGTCCAGCTGAAGTTGAAAGTTCACCAAGTTGTTGGTTTTCTTGCACAGCCACATCCATGTTCAAGACTACTGGAGTGGGCCAGACATGTAAATTTTGGAAATCAAAATTGTAATAAAATGAAGGGGTCGAATAGAAATTTTAGTCATAAGAATCACAACTTTCATGATTCCAGATCCAAGACCACCAAAGGCAGGCATGGAGGACAACCACAGCATCAATAGAGAAATGACATTGAAAGGGGGAAAGAAAACTGTATATTGTTTTCCCCAGCACCAGAGTTGAGTTGTAGTGTTTCTGGGTTGAGTCTTCAGTTAATAAAAGTTGCAAATGGTGAAACATTGTCATATTCTAACTTGTCAAAAAAACAATCATGTTCTATGATGCCAGAATAGGTCAACAAGGAAATGGTACATGTCAGGTCCCTATAGTAATCGAGGAAGGAAATTCTTAGATGCAGGGACAGCAAGTGTGGTTTAGCCAGATTTTTGGTAGTTTGCAAATATATTTATACTTGAGATTACTCTTACCAGGAACTTTGAAAGTAAGGTGCTTAGCTGTGATAGACACTTTTGGCACTTCTTGTAGCATCTCTTTGATGCTCCAAGTAAAATTTGGCATAAAACCTCAGCAGTTAGTACTCATAAACAAGATCACAAGAAAGGATGCATCCAATAATAAGTCCATACTTAAATATCCTTGTGTGTTTTTAAATTTTTAATTATTTATGTAATCTAACATTATTCATCAACATGTCCCTGTTGCACATGCTGGACACCACTAAGATTGTTGCTTACAACCCCCCCCCTCTATACCCCAGGCAAATCTATGTACCTACTTGATGCTGGTTCTCAGGTCCTTCATTAGCTCTTTGATCTCCCTAAGCATGTATCTGTAACTCCAATTACCAACCTTAGTGCTTCCCAGCTACCCTGTTACAACCTGTGGGTCCCCCTCAATTATGAGGTTTCTGCAGTTCAATAATTTTACTCTCCTAAGGACAATAAAAGCAGCACAAAGCTCTATTTTGGTCGAGTCCCTGACCCCCTCAGTTAAAGTTATTATTGTATTATGCATTAGACTGTTTGCATGTGATTGTGATAATCATCATGTGTTATGACCATTTGGATGTTGAATGCTTGTTTCTACAAAGCTTTAGAAAAATCCACTGTCTAAAATTGATCCAGACAGCTTTTAACTAAAGTTTAGAATGAAGTCATCTCAGATTTTATTGACAATGAACTCATTTAGTTTTCTCTAACAGTCTGAAGTGAGTCCATTTCAGGAAAAGATGGTATAGGTTCAAATGCCATCTGAAACTAACAGTTAATTTGTTCTATTTTTAATATGTCACCAAAAACATGCTATAAATAGTTTGTCTCACAATTTTAAACATCTCCAGGTGAACATTCAGTATTGGTGAGTGTTGGTCCAGATTTGTGGTGGGATATTTCTTTGTTCCTCCAGTATAATATTATTGTTGGTTCCCAGTTCCATTAATGTGCTAATTCATGTACAGGTATTAAGACGACTTGCACAAAATCGTGAGGCTGCCCGTAAAAGCCGTTTACGGAAAAAGGTAGGAAGGCATAAACCCATTATTGTATGTCTGTCTATGGACATTCTTAACGACTTGGTAACTTGATCTAAATTATGTTCAAGGCTTATATTCAACAATTGGAGACAAGTCGTTTGAAGCTGACACAAGTGGAGCAAGAGCTTGAACGAGCTAGACAACAGTTATGGGACTATATTTTTTCCTCTATTGTGTCTATTAATTTTCTAATTAAGAAAGTTATCATTTTTTCCTTGTCTAACAATTTTGATAATGCATTACTGCAGGGAGTATACATAGGTGGTGCATTAGATACTAGTCATCTAGGATTGTCTGGAACTGTTAATTCAGGTTTGTCATTTCTTGTTCTAGTAGTTACCATTTTCAATTTGACCTCCTTACTACCTAAATGTTGCACCAGTAGTAAATATTATATGCGAGTTTTTAATCGGTAGATAAGCTGTGCATTGAGCATGCATAATAACTTGCTATTTTGCACTTCGAAAGTATCTCAACCTGCCAATGAGGGTTGATGACCCAGTAGTTCAGTTGGTTACTTGGTATTCCTCCCTTTAGGAGGTTTAGGTTCAATCCCGTGGAAGGGAAGGCTCACTGTGTAGTGAATGCCAGTGGGGCCACACATGTACTCTGCCACCACTAATCCAGTAACTTGCTAACTGGGTTTAGTATATAGCACCCCTCCCCTATTAGGGGCAAAGCTGCATCACATGTACAGAAAATGAAAAGAACTTGTCAATGGGGAAGTCCATGTAATGAACTATCCATTGCCAAAATTCAGCTCTAACAAACCATTTGTCCTTTTATTATTTTCATTTTGATAGTCTGGGGGGAGGGGGGGAGATTCTACTTAAGCTAAAGAGTTTCTGGATATTTATTTGAATATTATATGGTTAAAATTCATCATGTTGATTTGGTGTAAGATGCCTTTTAGGTTGGACTGGTTTACTGGGCATTCCCTATTTCTCTTAACATGCAACATGTGGCAAATTATGGGGCCTAAACTGCATCTTGAGTCCTGTGGCAGGATGCTCCCATTTTTCTTTTATTATTTCATTTGGGTTTTCATTCACTTCATTGTACTTCTAGTCATATTCCTAAGATTGATCTTGGGAATCTTGTAGGCATTGCTACATTTGAAATGGAGTATGGACACTGGGTTGAAGAACAGAATAGACAGAATCATGAACTAAGAACTGCTTTGCAAGCTCATGTATCTGATATAGAGCTTCGCATACTTGTAGATAGTGGCATAAACCACTATTGTGATCTGTTCCGCATGAAAGGAGCTGCTGCAAAGGCTGATGTCTTCTATTTAATGTCTGGCATGTGGAAAACCTCAGCTGAGCGTTTTTTCCTGTGGATTGGAGGATTTCGTCCATCAGAGCTTCTAAAGGTGATGAACAGTTCAGTTGAAGCTATCAGTTGTGAATCTCCTAGGAGCCATTTGATAACAGTTGAAGAGGCTGAACTGAATAACTTATTGCTTTTTCTTTTAGTGGATAAAATAATTAAAAATACAATATTTGAGGGTATAGTAATCAATCTAACTTAAGTTTCATTCAATTATTAAGGAGTTTGCAACCTCCTTAATAACTTATTCATTAAAAGACAAAACAACAAGTCCTTTGCGTTCATCCACTTCATCTGTTATCAAACGGCTCCTTGATGTTTAATTCTTATTCTTTATGCACAAGTTGTTTGTACAGCCCATAATGGTCGATCGTCAATGTACTCTGGATAAAAAACTACTCTATATTTATTAATCCCCTTCGTCCTATTACTTTCTTTTTTGCATTAATGGTTATAGTATATACCTACTAGAAGAATGCTATTTTTCTGTAGCTACTTTTTTAATCTCTAAGGTGGTTCCAATTTTTTCTCAATATTTTCTCCATTCTCTTTTCCACAAGAAGCAGAACTTTTATTTAGGAATTTTTCCATGTTATCAGAATATTTCTGCTGCACCTGACCTATAGTTGCATTCTAGAGTCATTATTTATGGACAAGAAATAACCATCTTGTGCAAATATAAAGCATGAATGGCACTAGTGAAAAGTGCTCTGTACTCCTGGTCTGAACTTTCCTTATTTCCATTCTAGATATCTCCTACATCAATCCGTCTTTTTTCATTTGTTCATATAGTTTCAGTAGATCAAATATGAAGTTTCAGTTGTCTAACCATCATCTGTTTTGTTTTATTTATTCTTATCTAAGATGTATCATTGTAGCCTTAATTTAATCATGCATTTGAAACCCTCACTTGTACCAATCTGTTTTGAACTCTATTTACCTGTTTTTGAACTATTCTTTAGTAATCTTAACAGTACAGTGACATGATGAGATCTTCACCATTGAAAAGTGTAGCTGAAAGATTTGCTTCATGAGGATAGCTTCTCACAAATAGCATCATTAATTTTTCTTCAGATGTGGTCCATCAATTCATGAATATATTATATTAGATCAGCCTCTTTTCTCATATGCATACTAATGAATTCCGTCCTCCATATATGTGGGGATGTTATAGATGGTGAGCTTCTTAGTGATGACACACTACAATAACTTAATCCAAAGAACCACATCAATGATAAATTTCAATAAGGTTACTATGTTGTACTACTCTTGGTTTGGGTTGACTCAGTGAGAAATGATTTAAGCGCCCGTAATTTAATAGTGGATATAGCATTGAACAATGCAGAATGGCAGAATAGGGTTCATGTGTCCAACCCCATATAATTGGAACCAAGGTTCAAATTTTCATCACGTTTTGATCAATACATAGTGTATTGGTGGGTCACTAATACGCCAAATATATAAGCTTTAGTGTTTTGACCTGTTTCAAGGGGTAGAAAAGCCTTAAACGGATCCCTCTGAACAGGTTTTGAAAAAAAATAAAAAATAAAAAAAGGGGGTGTGTGAGGTCGAAACTCCCAATATGCCCCATCCGGCGTATCAGTGTGTATCAATACTTGGAACCTTGATTGGAACAAGGGTTAGTTGAGTTGGTTATTGTATTACTCTTGGTTTGAATGAAATACTTGTAGTTCTTTGTTCTGTTAGTCTGTTAAACACTTCATTTATCATAACATTCTTGTGTCAAGTTTTAGTTGACATACCATGCTTCAAATGTATGAACATTTAGATTCTACTTTTATCCTGCAGAAAACTTTAGTGCTTGTATTCTTGTCTGGGATTTTGGGGTGATTCCATTCATCAAATTCTGAAATTTCTATTCTCTCTCTCTCTCTCTCTTATTTATTTATTTTTTTGGTTTATGCTGGACACAGGTTCTCATGCCCCAACTTGAACCATTATCAGAACAACAACTGCTGGATGTAGGTAACCTGCAACAGTCATCTCAGCAAGCTGAAGATGCTCTTTCACAAGGGATGCTTAAACTGCAGCAAACTCTAGCTGAAACTTTAGCAAGTGATCCAGTGGGTGAAGACAGTTACATGTCACAGATGGCTACGGCAATGGGAAAGTTGGAAGCTCTAGTGAGCTTTGTGAACCAGGTATTAATCACTTTTTCATATCAGGTAGTTCATTTTGCATTTTCTTACCCTGAGTTCACATGATACCTCTACCTACCAGCTTTTTCATACGTTAAATTGCTTGAAATATTTGATCATCCTTTTCATACAGTAGATTATATACGTGAATAAGCATTCAGGTACAGGAAATGAGTATAGCAATAAAGAAATACATCTCTATCTGTTTAAGATTGTTTTCTAAAATAAAGGATCACTTTTACTGTTGAGATGCTCAGCTTGAGGGGGAGTTTTGAGATGTAGGGCTGTAGGAGTTTCTTTTTTTATTGGGCTTCATTTTTTTATGTTTATAATTGGGCTGGTTATATAGTGGGCTGTCTGGGCCTCTTTTCTTATTGCTGCCACCTACTAGGGGAAGAGACATAATTTTATTTGCTTTTATTACCATCTCATATAAAATACAGCAGGACTACAATAAAGCCCATTATTCGACTTCTCTAAGAACATTATTCTTCTCTTCTTTTTCTCCTATTCTCTTCCTTCTATTCTCATTATTTTTTTATGCTTTAAATACACATAAGAATCTCAAGAATTATTGTTGTTTTAATTCTCATCTTGGTATAAGAACATACCTCTTTGTTTTTAAGATCCATACATACTAGGATCAACGGGGTATGCGGGGTTTTGAGTAGCAGATCATTGCTACATGAGATTGCCTGGTTGATAGAGGATTATCCAGAAGATGAGAAGAGGAGGAAGAGAGAAGGGAGTAGAGAAAAAAAGATTTGAGAGCCAAAAAGTTAGGCTAGCGGCGTCATCTTTCAGTATTTATATTAGGGCGACATAAACAAATAAAAGAAAGGGAGAAGTTACAACAGTAGCCCTGTGGTACTAATTTGAGTATACTAACAGACTTTTAACACTCCCCCTCAAGTTGGGACATAGATATCAATCATGCCCAACTTGTCACATAAATCATGATGCCGCAAGTGATGTAACCCCTTTGTGAAGATGTCTACAAGTTGGTCTTCAGAACTGACATAGGGTGTATACACTTCCCCTTTGATAACCTTTTCTCAGATAAAATGTTTGTCGACTTCAATATGTTTAGTTCTATCATGCAGCACTGGATTAGCAACAATGTTTATGGCTGCTTTGTTATCACAATATTAGGTCATAGGTTCATCAACTGCAAATCCCAACTCACTCAACAAGTTTTTTAGCCACATAATTTCAACCATTCCATGAGACATTGCCCTATATTCAGCTTCAACACTAGACCTAGCCACCACATTCTGTTTTATGCAAATTTGCTTCTCCATGTGGCTAGTAGGTTCCCTCCTACAAAAGTACAATAGTCGCTTATAGATTTCCTAACACTTAGGGATCCTGCCCAATCTACATTGATATACACTTCAACCTTCAAATGCTCATGCTTTTGGAACAATAAACCTACATCTGGAAATTTCTTTAAGAGATCTGAGGATTCTTTCAGCTGCTTCAAGTAAGAACACCCATTGCATAAGCAATGTCTGGCTGAGTCATGGATAGATATAGCAATCTTCCTACAAGTCTCTAAAATTGTTTCACGTCCTTGATGAATTCACCTTGACAATCACCTAATTTGTGATTAGGATCAATGGGAGAATCAATAGGTTTCACTCCCAATTTTCCTGTATCTTGGAGTAGACCTAAGACATACTTTCTCTGGGAAATGAAGATACCCTTTGTAAGCGGGTAGCTTCAATTCCAAGGAAATACCTTAAAGGACCTAGATCTTTCACCTCAAACTGAGTAGCAAGAAATCCCTTCAACTTTTGAATTTCATCTTTCTAATCACCAGTGATAATTATATCATCAACATACACTATTAAGGCTGCAATTTTTCATTCCCCTCTTTTCACAAACAATGTGTGATCAAATTGACACTTCTTGTAGCCTTTTTGTTGAACAACTACATGAAACCTGTTGAACTAGGCTCTTGGTGATTGTTTCAGGCTATATAATGACTTTTTTAACCTACACACTTTCTGTTCATCACCTTGAGCCCAGAAACCAGGGGGTTGTACCATGTACATTTTTTCTTCAAGATCACCATTTAGAAATGCATTCTTGATATCTAGTTGATGAAGGTCCCAATCGAGATTAGTGGCTGAAGAGAAAAGGACTCTAATGGAATTTATCTTAGCAACTGGTGCAAAGGTTTCTGCATAATCCACTCCATACACATGTGTAAACCCTTTTGCCACTAAACGAGCTTTATACCGTTCCATTGTGCCATCAACCCTATGTTTTACTGTGAAAACCCATTTACATCCAACCGGTTCCTTCCCCTTTGGAAGATCTACCAATTCCCATGTGCCATTTTAATGCAAAGCATTAATTTCTTCCTTCATAGCATTTGTCCATTTAGGCACCAACAAAGCTTTTGCCACATTCTTAAGAATATGAACACTGTCAATGGAAGAAAGAAAGGCTTGAAAGGAAGGTGAAATGTTCTCATAGGAAACAAAATGGGAAATGGGATGTTTAGTGGTGCAAGACCTAATACCCTTCCGGTGAGTAATAGGAAGGTCAAGGTCTTCGGCAATAGAGGTACCAATAGCAATAGGGTTAGGAACATCAATGGGAACCAAGGTACCTGGTTGGGTAGGATCCACCCCCGGAGAGTTTGATGTCATTGGTGGTACAATTTCTAGGTGCTCCACAGCTCTTGAACATGGCTGGCCTTTGTAACGACGAAAGAAACACAAAAGAGAGAAGAACCAGGGAGAGGAGGGAGCTGAACTGGTTTTCCTCATTCCTACACCCCCCTGAGGAGAAACAAGGAAGAAAGGCTCACTCTCAAAGAAAGAGACATCCATAGAAATGTAATATTTCCGAGAGATTGGATCAAATCACTGATACCCCTTCCGAGTTGTGGAGTACCCCAAGAAGATACAAGGAATAGCATGAGGATCCAATTTTCCACGGGTGGGTGACAGGTTTGTGAACAATGCAACGACAACCAAACACACGTGGAGGAATAGAAAGGAAAAGAGATTTGGGAAAAAGGAGCTGATGTGGGGCTTTGCACTCTAACCGGTGAGAGGGCATATAATTAATGAGATAAGTAGCACAAAGAACAGCCTTAAGCCAAAAACGTTTTGGGACATTCATATGATTCGGTAACCCCCTAGCCACTTCAAGAAGATGACAGTTCTTTCTTTTAGCAACACCATTTTGTTGGGGTGTTCGGGCACATGACCTACGGTGAAGTGATCCATGCGAAGCAAAGAACTCCGTGAGATCATTATGAAAGTATTCTTTGGCATTATCGGATTGGAAGACTTGGATTTCAGTTTGAAATTGGGTGAAAATCATTCGTTGGAAAGTTTGGATAATTTTTGGTACTTCATCCCTAGTTCGCATGGGATACACCCATGTATATCTGGAGTATCATCAATAAAGGTAATAAAATACTTGTAGCCACTCTTAGATGGTAAAGTAACAGGGCCCCAACGGCCAAACATAAATGAATAATATGGGAAGGAAATTCAGATTTATTATTCTTTGAAGAAAAATGAGTTCTACAATGTTTACTCAATTGATATGTTTGACACGTAAACTTTGACATGGACACTGACTTAAACAACTCTGGGAATACCAGTTTCAAAGACTCAAAAGATAAATGACCAAGACAACTGTGCCATAAACAAACATGACTCTTACAGGACTGACTCTTAGACTCTATGACTATAAGACCAGCCTTATTCTCCAGCATGTAGAGTCCATCCACCATACGTCCTCTACCAATCGTCTTCCCCGAGGCCAAATCCTGGATCACACAATAAGAAGGGAAAAAGGTCACAGAGTAGTTTAATGACTAACAGAGAACAAGTTAATAGGGAATTTTGGAACATGTAAAACATTAGAAAGAGTAAGATCAAAGGGAAGAGAAATGGTTTCTTGACCAGCTATGATAGTGTATGACCCATCATCTAGTCTCACCTTGTCTCTTCCAGAGAGAAGATGATAGGTCTAAAAGTAAGTGGACTTGCCAATCATATGATTTGATGCTCCAGAATCAATTATCCAAGGAGAGTCAGGGGAATGAGACAATACATGAAAAGCTGTGGCAGAATTACCTGATGTAGACGCAAATGAGGTTGAGGGAGGAGGAGCATCCATTTAACGAATGACCCTACCATGGAGTTCTAAATGGTCACGAAAGGAATTAATGATATCCTCCCTAGGGCCTGGACCAGAGGTGTGTATCTAAGTAACAGTAGTAGTAGGGGGCTGATTCTCTTGAGTAGAGCCATGCTTGCCATAGTGAGTTTTCCCGGACTTTGCTGTCCTGATTTCTTATTCAGATCTGAACCTTGTTTCTCACTCAATTCCTAAGCCCATTTTGGCTTCCCATGAAGTTCCCAACATGTATCATATGTCGAGACTTCTGGAAATGGGTGCACCATAGTTTGTCTTTCTCATCCACCCTTTTTTGAAAGTCTCCTTTCTTAAAGGGATTTCCCCCATTTATAACAACATTCCCTTTCGTTGCCAAACCAACTGCATCCCCCCCCCCCCTGAATTATTCATCAAATTTCTACTACTTTCCTCTGACTATACTGCTTTTGCATCTTCATCACACTTCTAGTCCACACTCTGATAGTGATCTAACTCCTTCCAGATGGAGGTCAAGTCTGAATAGTACACAGGTAGACTCCTTTCCATGTTTGCAAGTAGATGATTCTGTCTGTTATTGATAAATATTTGCATAGTGGCGCAATTCAGAATAGGTGGAATTTGCTTGTTCCCAAATCTCATAAGCCGTTTCAGCCCACAAAATTTCTTTTCACCTGAGGTTGGATAGAGACTAAAAGCTAGGACATGACCATGCTGTTTTCCTGGTTCCATTTATCATATTCAGCACTGCCAGAATTAGGTTCTTTAATTCTCCCATTTATATATCTTATCTTTCCCCTTGCAGTAATGTACAACTTGATCCCCTTCGACCATTCTACGTAATTCAGACCATCAAGAGGTATGACAGCCATAGGGAAGGATAAATCCATACCCCACTCAGTCCATTCTACATTGAGGAAACATCAGATGTGGTAGAATCTTCACCACTCATGATAACTGTTTCAGGTCACACCCAAAGTAGTCACAAAACCCTAAAACAGTACAGTCCAACACCCCAGAAAGTCAATGTTTATTTAATTTTTTCTCCAGTTCACACAATTCCCCCCTTCACACACTGTATTGCTGTTAAAAAAAGTCTTTGCACCGGGAAACTAGAAACAACCACCTTTCAGTTCAAACACAGCCTTTCAATCATCAAAGAAGAAAAGTCTACTGCTGTTACAGTAGATACAGGTCATCTCCTGACCTACAAACAGACTATAGGACTGCTGTCAAAGCATATATAGGTCATCACCGACATACAAATCATCATAGGGATCAACCAATCCCACATAAAAGGAAAGAAGAGGTGCTGATCACCTCACATCAGTTAAGTGAACCTATTACAGGTTCTGTCCTGGTACACGACCAGAAAAAAAAATAAAAAAAGAATGGAGTGAACCTACTTCTGGAACAGTCCGATGCTGTACTCTGGATCTTCAGTAAAACCAACAGCAGCTGGTGAAGAGAGAAGACAGAAGAAGAAGACTTGCTTGATCTCCTTTCAGATCTAATAGTCCCACTCTGATACCATATTGTCCAAAAGACGAGAAGAAGAACAGAAGGAAGAGAGAAGAGAGAAAAAAGATTTGAGAACCAAAAAGTTAGGCTGGCGGTGCCAGCTTTCAGTATTTATATTAGGGCGACATAAACAAATAAAAGAAAGGGAGAAATTACAACAGTACCCCTGCGGTACTAATCTGAGTATACTAACAGACTTTTAACAGATTTCATAGAGACTTGATTGCAATTTTGAAGCCCAGTAGTTATTCCTGTAGTCTTTGCCTGAAATCAGAAGCAATCTTAGAAACAGGACTAGTATCAAATCAAAGACCAAAGAGACATTGGGGTTGGCGCTCAGGGATTTCGTGGAACAGTTTGAAACCATATTGAGATGAACAACCATTGAAGGACCTTTTGTGAAGGCTTGTAAGAGCATCTGCACCTTCTCCCTTTTCTCTCAAGTTTCAGGGTTGGTAAAAACCTGAGTTCTCTATGTTGGCTTGATTGCAAGGCAAGGGATTGAAGTTGAATAGACTTCTTTAATCTTTCAAACGCCTGTATATTGTTTTTAATCAACAGACCATTTTGGAACTGATTTCCAGTAGAATTTGGATTGTGTGGTTGTTTCCATTGGTCTGTACTTTGTAGGGAACCCTGTAACTACGATTAGACCGGATGGAACCAATTACTTAGAGTGGGCACAGTCTATCTGCATCTATATTGGTGGTCGTCACAAATTGTAGTACATCATAGGTTGTGTGGTTGGTTGTTGTAAGGTGCCTCTCATGATAGGTGAGTGTAGGAATACTACATGATTATGTCCTAGCTTGTGAATTCCATGCAACAGCATATTAGCAGGAACTATTTATGGATCAAAGCATGATCTAGAGAAAGCATATGATAGAGTTTCTAGAGAGATAATAGTGTCTTGAAAAAGAAAGGATTCCAAATAGGTACATAGATATATTTGAGAGTGCAACAACTAATGTTAGAACACATGTGAAAGAGACGTCAGATTTTATAGTTTTGATGGATTTTCACCAAGGTTCAACACTTTGCCCTTATTTGTTTGCACTGCTCATAGATGAATTTAGGTAGAGGTCCATCGTGTATATTGTTTGTTGATGACATTGTTTTAATTGATGAAATTAATGAAGGATTAAATGCAAAATTAAGCTTACAGACAAATGCCTTAGAAACAAGTGGTTTTGAAATAATATTTATAATAATAATAATAATAGTAATAATAATAATAATAACTAGGGAGAGAACTCAATGTGACCTTTTCCTATACCTTGGTTCAATAGTTCATAACTAGGGAGAGATAGAGGAGGACGTCACCCATAGAAGCAAGATGAGCAAAATTCAGGAATGCATCTAGAGTTTTATGAAATAGGAGAATACCACTTAGATTAAAAGGAAAATTCCATAAAATTCTAAGGCCCAGCTATGCTGTATGGAGCAAAGTGTTGGGCAGCCAAGAAACATGTCCAAAAACTGAATGTGGTAGAAATGTGTATGCTGAGATGGATGAGTGGAAACTAGAAAGGATAGGACCAGAAATGAAGCCATTCATAGGAATTATGATCAAAATTTGCACCTGGTTCAGTTTTTCTTTCAATTGTTTGTAATAATGGTTTGCACTCCTACATGATACAAAATTTTTAGTAGTGCAAATATTGCATCTTACCTTATTCCTACACAGATAACAACCCTCTATCTCCATTCTCTTTCATTTAAAGTGGATGTGACTTCATTTTACTTCTCACAAATAAATAAAACAAAGTCAAATCTGAAGCAAAAGTAAACTGGAATTTGCACTCATTTTTGTACTCCCATACATTTACACCAGTGAATCATAAAAAAAAAAGCATTTACACCAGTGCAAATGAAACTTGTACTGCAACCAAACTCAGCCTTAGGGGTAGCTCCAATGGGTGATAAAATGAGAGAAAGTAGACTTGAATGGTTTGGTCATGTGCATAGAAGACCATTAACAACACCTGTAAGAAGTGATTTGTTATGAGTTGAAGGGACTAGAAAGGCTAGACAGACAAAAATGGTTGGAAGTAGTAAAAAATGACTTTTAAGCGTCAGTAATTTAACAATGGATATAACTTTAAACAGAAGAGAATGATTAAACAGGATTTGTGTAGCTGATCTCATATAGTTGGGATAAGGCTTGGGTGATGATGATGATGATTTATGGATCAAAACAGCTAAAGAAGTGTGGGGTAATGTAGTAGAAACTCATTCCTAGGCAATGGATGTGGCAAGGGCATATTAACTGAGAAGTGAAGTTAACAATCTGAGATGAGGAGGCAAGTCTCGTCTTATACTCTTCCTATACTCCGAAAAATCTAATTGGCAAGAATCAGATCACTTGGAGAATATAGAATGAGGGTGCCCAAAGGATACTATTGCCTACAGAAAATTAGAGAGAAACAACGTGTTTGAGTTTCTCACCAGCTTGGGTGTGTGCAACTTGACCATTCAAAGGCTATCAATCCACTTATATATTTTCATATGTTGGATAGGTTTTATTTATTAGCTATTTGTTTGACTGCAATTCTGAGGTTACAGCTCTACTTTAGCATGTAAAATTGGAACGTATACCTTAACAATGTAAGCAATTTCTAAGTTGCTCATTTATCATTAGACTGATTTCAGTCTTCTTTCTCCAAACAGGCGGACCACCTTCGGCAGCAGACTTTACTGCAAATGTCTCGTATCCTTACTATCCATCAAGCAGCTCGAGGCCTGCTAGTCTTGGGAGATTTTTTTCATCGTTTTCGGGCCCTGAGTTCACTTTGGGCTGCTCGTCCTCGCGAACCAGCCTAAGCTATGGAGGATGCATAACCTGTCAGTCAGACATGATCACTAGCTAGAGATCAACCACCTTTAGCAGCAAGGAAAATGCTCCTAGCTTAACAGAATCCACTTGGTAGTGGTCATCATCATCTTAACGGCCATGCGTAATTAAGCTGCTGACATTTTTGAAGCAGCCTCCAGAATTGGAAGAATGTTGTAAATATGAAGCTCCTTTCACCATTTATCAATAGAACATTTTGTTCATTAAGTTAATTTTCCAATTCAAATCATGTAATATATGTTATAAGAGAAGATTGTGTGAAGTGTAACTGATGTTTTGACTTTTGAGCAGTCAACTGGTACTTGTGTAAAATTGTTGAATAGTTTCGGTCCTTTTTGGTCAAGACGCTTGTCCTCAAATAGTCGCAGCAGAGGTGATAGTAAATGGCTTCTTTGGACTTTAACTTTTTCTTTTCTAGCTATCATCCTGGGAGATCTTTGGACTCGGGATCCTTGGATCTTGGGGGTGGGATGGGGAAAGGGCATGAGATGAATTATATGTTTCGACATCCGATCGATTATCTTGGATATCTTAGATTGAATAATACATTTATGGAATTGGATTGGATCCGATTATCTTGGATATCTTAGTACTTGACCAACCATGGCTTTCGGCAAAGCACCCATAACAGATCATCTTACCTCTTAAAATATATTCAGAGCCAGAGCACATCGCCCTGTGGATATTTAGAAACTTGCTTGCAACTTATTTCATTTGCATTACCCCACATTTCCGGCGGCCGACGCAATTCCACCTAAACGAAGCTATGCAATTTCTTTTTGCTTCATTGCCCTCAAAAGTCTCTTTTATCTCTTTATGTGTAAATTAAATTATGAAGAACATTTTCTTTTGACTTCTCTCTCAACTTTTCTTTGTTGTTCTCACACCATGGGGATTTTACATTCTGTGAATTGTGCTCTTGTAGTTGTAGGTTGCCTTTGCTTTTGAATCCGTATCAATACACCTCTTATTCTTTCCTGTTCGTTTTGACTGCTTACCTCAAATTAACAGCTCCTTTTTCAAACATCAAATGTGTTTTCCCTCTCTATGCAACTTGCTAGCTGTTTTAGATTTCTCTATGATAACATTACTTTCTAGGATGCATTTTTTCTTTCTCTTCAAATTCCACTTTTTATTCTAGAATGCATTCTTTTGTGAGTGGCTAAGCTGTGTTTGTTAGTTCTGTAAGGTGTTTTAATTTTCTACTATTTTCTTTTATTTATTTATTTGTTCTATTCTATTGTTTACCTAACTCTGCTCTTTGAAACTGACTCAATCAAGTGTAGAAAAAAGAGAGGAAAAAGAAAAAAAAAGGAAGAAGAGAAAGACAGAGAATGAGATGGGTATCTTGGCAATTTCAATGTACCTGTTATTAGAAAACTACTGGAGGAGAGGTATTTGAACCTTTTTCAAAACATCAAGGGAAGTTTTTGTTAAGGTCAAAATACAAGGGAGGTTTATAGGATTTCTAGAAATGCCAAGGAAGGTTTTATTGTTTTTTTTTTTTTTAAGCCGGTTGTTGTGTATGAATAAACTAGGAAATATGCAAATTAAATAGATAGATTGAAATAAGTTGTACTGGAATAAATTATAAATCTCTTCTATAACATCTGTCATCCGATAAAATGCAGAACCTAAAATTAAGATTTGTGCAAGTAATCCTACACTTCTAATGCCATTAATCAACCCAATCCAACATTATTGTCAAATCTAGATTTGAACAAATGCTCCTCACATCTGGTTGTAACTCGTAACATGTTGGATTTATTTAACCCCCTCCAGCTCAAGTAAGAGTATGGATGGAACCATCAGTCATCCATTGGGTGGGCATTCCAATGTATAAGATTTGGATTCAAAGACATAAACCCAATTAGCCCTGTAGAAAATCTTTTTGGATTGGCCACATGAGCTGTAGTAGATGGGATGCCTCAACCCATCCCTTAAAGGCTATGTTTGGTTTGAAGGAAAAGGAAGGGAAAGGTAGGAAAGGTAGAGAAGTTCATACAAGGTTTGTAAATGTTTCCCTACATTTTCTTTCAAACCAAACACAGCCTAAATTTCACAGGTTCCATTTAGGAAGAAGAAGAGAGAAGAAATAGTTGTAGAGTTGAAATCAAGTGCCAAGAGATCTACTTATTTATGGGAATGTTGGATCTAATGTCAAGCTAAAAAAATCATCTACAGTTCTTGGTACACCAACCTTGATTCTTCACAACTTTGATATGGAATAATCCAATGCATCCAGAAGGAAATCTGCATCAAAGCTCAGTTTGGAAGTACAAATACAAATATGTAGTGTAAAACCTTGTAATTTGTATTATTTTGTATGTATTTGCACTGTTCATATTTGTATTTGTCTTCTTTCCAAACCGAGCCTTATCCTGCATTTGGTTGCAGTACAATTTTATTTGCACTAGTACAAATGCATGTGAGTACAAATGAAAAAAATGCAAATTCTCGTTTCATTTTATTTGGGGGTTTTACTTTATTCTGTTTCATGTCTTAATTTATTTCATTTGTATTACAATCAAACAAAATAAGCTAAAATTTAAAACAAAAATAGGTCAAAATTTGCAGTCACATCATTTGCACTGTCATAATTTTGCATCAGTGCAAATTTATTTGCATTGCAGCCAAACACAACCTAAAGAACAAATCATATAAAAACAGAGTGAAGATAATTATAAGGTATCAGATACAATAAAAACATAGACAGACATGTGTGTGCAGAGAGAGAGAGAGAGAGAGAGAGAGAGAGAAAATACCTGCATCATGTTTTAGTCTCTCAAACAGTACAAAACTGTCATTGCTGCCTTTGTAGGCATGTTTTCCTTCCTATTGCTATCAATGACAAGTTCTATCCCCACCATTAAGTCCCTATCAAGGTTCAAAATATCGTTACGTATCGACCCGTATGTATCGTATCATGGCCTTCCCGATATGCTCCTATAGGGGTGTTTCGGGTTAGACCATGGTTCAGAGGGTAGCCGGACCTTAAACCAACCGTTCTGAACCAAATTCAAAAAAAAAAAACAAAAAATGCACCGATTTAGGCCGATATGCCTTACATCGACGTATCGGCCTTTATCGATACTTTGAACCTTGGTCCTTGCCTCTCACATCTCCAATGACTGAAATCAAACATATCGCTGATGCCGAGCCATAGAATTGGATGGTCCCTGTTGCCTATCCACATGCCACGTGTTGACTTATTATAAACAAATGTGTAGGTAAATCTAATCAGTTTTGATGATGCACAATTTGAACACTCCCTACTAGAAGGCAGCTTGGACGTTGGTCTGCTACGTGGCCAGTCGAACTGCAAGAAAGTGGTATTAGAGGTCTCAGGGTGCTTTACTCGGTGTGAGCACTCCGATGCTCAAGTTAGTGAAGAGTACTTTGTAGAGAGCTTAAGTATTGTGTAGGCTAGTAGAGAGCTAAATCGCGTGTACCTTCTAAGGGTGATGATGGTGCCTTTATATAGGTGAGCTTCCGTAGCCCTCATGAAATATATCCAAGTGTTAGACAGTTATGCCCTTAGCTCCAATCAGATTGGTGTACCTTTTGTCATATATTGTAAATGAATAAAGTACATAATTGATTCGTGTTATTTTGGTATGTTTCTAGGTAATACCCTTAAACTGGACACTTATGAGACTCATGTTAGTTTAGAATCTTCACAGCCATTGGATAGATTTGTGGAGATTATCCTGCCAAGGTTGACACTGATCTGCCGTCAAGTGGGTTGGGGTGGATTGGGGTGGATTGTCTCAGCTGCCAGGGTAAGACCTGAGGTACATGTAGTGTGGGTTTTCTTGAAACCCTGAACCAGACCAAATTCCAATATTGCCCTGGACCTTGGAGATAGATGGGCAAAATTGGAATATTACACCTGACCCCTAGACTCGATTATGGTACTGCACTAGGTGTATGATTGGGTTGTCTTTGATATGCCAATCAATGAGACCCTTAAACGGATCAAAACCTGGGTATGTTGGGGCAGTCCGAGAATTCACCTGAGTGGGTGATCATAGTGACATGATCAACCCCTTTGTCAGACAAAGTGAATGATCAGGGAATGCACTCTCTCTGATGGAAACCTAAACTGCCGGTAGTTGATTTCAAATTGTTGAGATTTTTTTGCAAAATATATTTATATAGAGATATACATATATATTATGGTTTCACAAAATGTTTTCAAAATGTTTTAATTCCCGGGATCCATGTGAGTAGAGAGTGTAACACTGTACCTTGCAGCCAAGGGAGAGGTTTTCTCTTGTTGGGCAGTGTTTGATCAATAAGGACTAAGAGGTTAAGTGTAAGACCATTAAGGGTTATACCTGATGGGCTAATCTTGCATCTGTCTATAGTCCTTGGGCCTTCACAAGATGGTTGGACCCAAGGACCATTTTGTGTAAACGTTGGGCCGATTGAAAGGCCATACTGATGGACTCAGGGGTTTATTGTGTTTTGCAGTGAATTCAGCCAGGCCTTGTAACAAAGGTTGGGCTGAACCCATGTAGCTGATGTATAGATCAATGCTAGGGTCCCATGTCATACAAAGAGAGCCAAACTAACCAGCATTTAAAGGGTAAAGTGAGTAGTGTGACTTAATGAGCCTAAGGCCCATTTCGAACTGGGCTTAAGTGATTTAATTAAATGAGCAAATTTGGGTTTATAATCTGATTAGGATTAGCAGTTGGATAAGTCTTATCCACTTGAGAGTCCAAATCCAAATATCAGATTTGGATCAAGAAACTCATTCCTAATTGGATTAGGAAGTTGATTCAGGAAAGGTTATAAATAAGGGGGCGAATTCTACAGAAAGATCACTTCTTTTTTGCATTCTTTTTCTCCCTCTGCTCTTGTTGCCCTGCCTAGTTCGATCTCCACCTCTTGGAGTGATCAAGAATCATTTTTGATATTGTTTCTTGGTGAAGAAACAATCTGAAGTCGTGCTCACACAACCCTACATGATTCTTGTTGAAGAATCATAAGTTCTTGCTGAAGAACCCTTCTTGTTGATCTTGCCTCAACATTCGTTGTGTCATCTTCAATGGAGGCAGATTTGGTAACCACTTTGGGTGTGAACACCTATGTTGGGAGTTACTGCTATTCTGTATCAGGTATATCCCTACTTGCTTCTTTTTGTTTTCAAATCTGGTCCGGTTTGTTTCAAGAATGAATCTTGAAAAATGCAGTTTTCTAAATTAGGGAATAGGATTCCTGGATGGGAGAAAGAATTTTTTTTGAAAATTTGCCTAGCCACCCTACATGGTCCGGCCATCCATATGATGGATCTCCCATCCCTTCACCGAAATCACTAGTCTGTGTAAACCAGAGTTAGTTTCGCACCCGGAGATGGACTTTGTGTGAGCTAATAAGGCTTATCGAGTCCATCCG